GTGGGTGGGTGGCGGAAGAGCTTGCCCAACAGCACAAGGCGCAGAGCGGGAAGCGCTGCCTTCCCCACCATGCAAGCTCCGGTGTTTGGTTTCAGCCGTTCAGGAAGTCCAGATCAGATTCTGGGATGGGGGGAACATAACCCGAGAATGCTTTTAAGGGAGAAAAGGACACGTTCCCCGTGTTCGAGGAAGCAGAGCCCAGGAAGCGAATGCGAAACACCAATAAGCTGTTTCGAAGCTCCCTCTTTGGTCTCCTCCCTTCCCAGCATCGGCGCATCTTGGTGGCAAACACAACAGAAAGAAGTCGAACCGGATCAAGGTTAGGGGAAAGGATAGCACATCAGGGAGAGGGAAGAGCCGATGGATTAACGAAAAGAACAATTGATTGACTGGCTGATTGGTTGGTTGGTCGGTTAGGGTTAGCAAAAGGAACACACCACAGCAGATGCTTCCATGCGCTCGCTGGTGTGTTTCTCTACAACTTCCAGAATGTTTCAGGTTGTGGAGATTCTGCGGTGGCGGCTCCCAAAAGGCCACCTTTGAAGGAGGAGGAAGAGGAGGAGGAGGGAGAGAGAAAAATGCCCCCCCCCCGGGGTTTCTACCCCAGGCCGTGATGGGCAATCCCCACCATGACCTGAGGTTGCTTTGGGAAGGGCGTGAGATTGAGCCCTGCCTGTCCACCTGCTCAGCTCCTAAATTTAGCCTTTTCCACAGAAACCTTCAGCACAATCCCCTCATCCAAATTTTGTATTTTATCTGTTGTAAGCCGCTTTGGGTCCCCCCGTGGGGAGAAAGGCAGCGTAGGAGGCATTTCAGTCCATCAGTGCCCACATCAGCGGAAGGCGTGTATTTATTCTGAAGCGTTCCTTCAGGGGGAGGAGAGGGCGGTGCCACATGTGGAGTGTGCAACCATGCACGCCCAGCCGTGCAGTCCAGTCCTTCGCTTCGCCTCGCTCTTTGTCCCGCAAAAGTGGCAAGGAGGTCCAAGGGGAGCCGAGTGGGGTGGGAGGCCTTCCGCTGGCAGCTGAGCTGGATCGGCGGGGCCAGCCCTTGGAAGCTGGCAGCACCGATACAACAGAGGGAGGGGGGCAGAGGGTGGCTCTCCTTGGCCACCTCCGCCTCGTCCTTCAAGTTTTGCACGGGGCAGAGAGAGAGAGAGAGAGAGAGAGAGATTAAAAACTAAGACACGACACAAACGGAGAGGGAAGCCAGAACAGAAACTGGTTCAGCCAAGTTCCCCAAATTTTGGGAGGTTCCCTTTTTGGACGACAGCTCCCAGCATCCCACAGCGAGCGGAGCCACTAATCCTGGGATGGTGTGAGTCGGAGTACAGAGAAGTCATTTTCCTTAAGCTGTCCCCTGAGTGTCCGAAGGGCAGCCGGGCTCTCCTAGAGGAGAGATTGACCTCCTTGGAACTGGGAGGAAATCTAGAGGCAAAACTCTGATCTTCCGTGGGTGACCGTAAGCCAGTGGCTGTTCTGGTTCTGGGCATTCTTGGAATCCAGAAAAGTAGGCTTTTCCCCCCTCTCAAACTGGGCAGGCTTCATTCATATACGAAGCGAAGGAAAGAAACGGGTGTATCGGCCAGCGAATGGGCTTGACTGAAAGGCCTGTTAAAAAATCTTCCTCATCTCATCTCCACCGAGGCTGCGTGTCGTGATTTTTCATTCTCCTCCCCATGGGGAAGAGTTGCTGGCAGGAAAGGAAAACACCTCCACCCCACCCCTCACTCCCAATCGACCCCCCCCCCAGGAATGGAAGGATCAGATAACCACCAGCTGGCCCAGAGAAGGAACTAGTGATGGGGACACGGAGGATGGAGGGCTGGACATGACTCGGGGGCAAGTCCAGAGAAGAGAAGGCTCCTCTGGGGGGTTATTAGCTGACGGGCTGGAAATATTTCCGTTCTGCTTCGCACTTGGCTGGAGGAGGAAGACGCTCCACCCTGAAAAACAGAGTCTGACCTCATTCAGAGGCAGGGCTCGGAAACCGTCCTCATTGTTTACTACAACTCCCAGTGTCCCTTAACCAACCAGCTGGGACCTGACAGGAGTTGTAGTCCAGCAAAGTTACTCTCCCCGCGCCCTGCTTGTTTCCAAAACGTTCCTCCTCATTCAAGGGTAAATCTCCCAGTTATCCTTGCAGGCCACGTCCCTCCGCTTTTCGGAGTCACCAGGCGGGCAGTATTTGCCTCACCGTTGGTGCTGTTGCTTCTCACGGTTTCCTTTCGATATTTATTCCGCCCACTACGCAACAACAGCACGAATCGGAAGGCGATCCAAACTTCTGCTTAAGCACACACTCTTAACAAGAGAGAAATGCTTGGCGACTTCGCGCAGAAAGCTCACCGGCCAGATCCAGTCCCAAAGTGCAGGAAGTCCTGAAGGCTTAGGGTGCAGAAATTATAAAAAGGGGGTCCTATAGAACTGTAGAGCTGGAAGGGCCCCAGGTGGTCATTGAGTCCAAAACCCTGCTGAGGTAGGGCCCCCCCACCCCAGCCGTAGCATCTCCCAACCTCCTGGGAGATCTCATTCCGTGGCCAAGCAGTTCTTATTGCCGGGAAGTTCTTCCTTGTCTTCAATTGAAATCTCCCTCTTTTAAAAAAAGCAAAAACTGGACCTTTTGCTTCAGGTCCTTCCTTTGGATAAGAAAACTTCCTCCAACTGCCAAGGAAGAGCCCTTCAAATATTTCAAGGTGGCCAAGGAACTACCAAATGGGTCTTTTCCTCTTCGCTTGGCCTCCTTCTGCACAGTTTCCAAAAACCCATCTGTTGCTCACGACTCTGTTTTCCTTACTTATCTATGACGTTGAGATCCCACCACGCCCCACCCACCCAAAATAAGCTCCTTCCCTCTTTAATCTCACCATAACCCTGCAAGGGAGGCCATAGTGTGACTAGCCCCATGAGCTACAGACTCCAAGGGGGGAGTTGACCCCAGGCCTTGTGGGTCTCCGTCCAGCACTTCAACCCTGCAAGCAAAGTGGTTGTCAGCTGCAATGTTGTCGTTGTGATTGTGACTAAGCAGGTGGGGTGGGAAAACGTCTTCCATGCTCACCTTTGACCTCCTTCTTGCAGTCTTTAAGAAGATGGATTCTATCTCTGATGATGTGAACTCTGCCCAGGCATACTACGAGAAGACGCTTGAGTCAGTTCAGGAGAACCTTCAAGAGCTGGGTAAGCGTGAGGCCATCTCGAGTGCATTTCACCTGTGTTCAGGTGGTGCTTTCTGAAACACGAGCCTGTCCAGGTGTTAAGATCATCAGGGCGTACCTTTCTGTCACAGCTAAATTTGGTGGGGACACAGGAAAGAAGCCCTTCTCTGTGGCTGCTCCTTTAGACTCTGGAACTCCCTGCCACCGGAGGCCAGTCTGGCCCCATCTTGGCCGTCCTTCTATAAGCAGCTGAAAGACCTTTCTCTTCAGGCAAGCTTTCCTACGATGACAAGCTCTCTAAAATTTTTAAATGAGATCGGTTGCATGTTGTTGCTTTTAAATCTATTTTCACAATGCTTTTTTTTTTTTTAACCACAGAGAAGCTACATGTTTATAAAAACACTCAGCATTAAGTATATGTAAAAGTTTACACAGTCGTATGTGGTCTGGCAAGAATGGCCGCATTCAAGAACTTTGCCCCTTTGTTCAGTGTCTGGCTTTGTTAAAAGAGCTTTCCAGGGGAGAGAATAAATGAGCCAGACGCCTAAACGAGGAGAAGGACGCTAGTTTGTGAATGAGGGGGAAAGGACACAAAGGCGAGCATGATTGCTGGGCAAGAAAACTTGCACGTCCTTCCTGGGAGCGAACAAGCGAGGACGTTGATTGTGAGTCAGTCAGCGAATTGTGGCCAGTTTTTTTGCCCAGTCAGCAGAAGACGGGGTAAAATTTTACAAGCATCTGCAAGGGATTCGGGTGTCTCTGATGACTCACCGTCAGGAAAAAGAAAAGGAGAGAGAAGAAAATAGGAATCTGAAGTGCAATCCTAAACACCTCAATGCAGCCGTAAGCAAGTTCAGGGGCAGATTTTAGGAAGTCCCTTTGAGGAAGCTTCTCGATATGAAGGAGCCAAGCTCTGGCTGGCGCTGATTCCTCCATCGCCGTGTTTAACCAAGAAGCCTCGCCAGATGTTCTCAGCTGTCCAGGGAGCGCCTCGTGTGGAGGGGCCGTAGCCCAGGGGTGGGTGGGCTTTGCATGCGGGAGGGGGGGTCAGGCACAGTGGGGCTCAACCCACATGCTTCCAGAATAACCTCACAGAGGCCACATTTCGGAACGGTTGTCAATTCCGTCATTGTCGTGGTCCCCTCACGATCCGTTTTGTTACCTCTCGGTATTGCCTTGAAGTGCATCCACACGATACAGTGGCAGGAGTTTAATCCCACATTAGGCGTTGCGGTTCCATCCTGTGGAAACCCGGGATTTATGCTTTGTGAGGGTCATTGAGGCACAACAGAGAGAGCTTGAGTCTGATTAAAACTCAGGGGACCTGCGTGGAGACTCCCCTCAGGGGTGGCAGTGGTGAACCATTCCTTGAATACCTCCTGCATTTGAGTATAATCGAGTTGGAAGGGACCTCTACTAAGGCCATCCAGTCCAACCCCCTGGCTGTCAGTGCAGGAATCCAAATTGAAGCAGACCTGACAAGCAGTCGTTCCATTCTTTCTTGAATGCCTCCCATGTTGAAGCCCTCACCACCTCTCAAGGTCATGAGTTCCTCTGTCGCAAAGCTCTAACAGTTAGGACTTTCTTCCTGACATTCAGCCCAAATCTGGCTTCGTGTAGCTTGAGCCCATGGTTGCCAGTCCTGCGCTCTGGGATGACAGAGAACAGATCCTGCCCCTCTTCTGTAAGACAGCCTTTCAAATCTTTGAAAAGTGTCATCATATCTCCCCTCAGCCTTCTTGTCTCAAGGCTAAACATGCCAATTTCTTTCAGCCTTTCCTCCTAAGGCTTGGTTTCCAGCCCCTTGATCCCCCTTATCGCCCTCCTCTGAACTTCTTCCAATTGGTCAGCATCCATCTTGAAGCGTGGTGTCCAGAACTGGACACGAGACTCAAGGGGAGGCCTCACCAGGGCTGAATAGAGGGGGACTAGCACCTCGCGGGATTTGGAGATGATAATTAATGCAGCCGAAATTAGCATTGAGCTTGAAAAACCTATTAAGTCAGAAACAACAACACAGAGCAGCAGTGACAACAACATATATTATGGATGTTGTGGGTTTTCCAGTCTGTTTGGCTGTGTTCTTAAGATTTTTCTTCCTAACGTTTCTCCAGTCTCTGTGGCTAGCATCTTCAGAACTGTGTTCTGGTGCAGTTTGTAGGGTAGTTGAGTATTTATAGCTGTGGGGTCAGCTTTTTGTCCTTTTCAGGAGATTGGGTGATTATGGTGATCAAGGTGTTTTTTTGTTATTTATTTATTTATTTATTTATTTATTTATTTATTTGATTTTTACCCCGCCCCTCTAGACCATGTCTACTCGGGGCGGCTTACAAAATAAAACAAAACAGTATAAAAATATATAAAAT